GCAACTGACAGATCAGATCAGTGGGCCAGAGCAGAGGGTCCTTGAAGGAGATTCAGAAGAAATGAGACTGGTGAGATGGGTGCACAGCACTATCTAATATGCTTCTTCTCCCTAGTCCTTTTTATCTGCCCTCCTTGCTGCATCTTAGTGAGCCCCTGCTTAGGATCAAGACTTGCTGACCCAACCTTACTACTCTGCATTTCTCTGCCCACTGGCTCCAGGCAGCAGCTCAGAAGCAGCAGGCAATTGAGACTACCCCAGAGATGGCATTGAAAGCAATCAAATTGCTTACATGGTATTTACACTGAGTGGTGAGGTGGTAGCAGGAGTCTCAAAGCTTTGTCTGAGGGCACTGTGGCAAGAATGCCATGGCAGGAGAAGCTGTGTTGACAGCAGTAGCTGCATCCAAGTGTCCTGTGTCAGAAGAAGCACTTCCACTGATGCCAAGGTCAGGCCACTGTTCCTCCTCCAGGTCTAAAGGATTTAGATGCTAATTGTGACTTCTGGAAGATCCTAGCCTAGCCGCAAACACTGAGAATCTTCATGTCCTCTCTCCATTTCAGAACATGCCCACATTGGTGGAGCACTACCCACAAGGGTCAGAGAGCATGTGTCAGTGGGATTCTGCTTAGCAAAACAGAACTAGGAGGTGGAGCAGGGCAAATGAGGTTACCTTGGCCCCATTTAGGCAGGACACAGACTGCTATTCCCTGTCTAAGACCAAGGCAAAATCAACCTGGGCAGGAAAGAGGGTTCAGGGGCCACTTACTGGCTACTGAGGCCTCATTATGCAGTATTTGGGACATTTGATTGAAACTGGAGGGAGGAAATAATTGAGATTAATGGGAGGTGGTGGCTCACACCTGTAACCCTAGCTACTCACGAGGCAGAGATTGGGAAGATCATGGTTTGAAGCCAGCCCAGGCAAATAATTTGAGAGACCATATCTTGAAAATATCCAGCACAAAAAGGGTTTGTGGAGTGACAAGTGATAGGGCAAGCCTGAAGCCCTGAATTCAAACCCCATTACCTCAAAAAAAAAAAGTTGAGCAGAATCCCATTAGCAACCAATGCTACATAATTTTTCCTCATTGTCACTCATAATTGCTTCTGATCTCATGGCAGTGTCTTTGAGAACTTTCAGGAGGTTCAAAAGAGTGTAAAGAGCCCCATGTTGCAGGCAGTGGAAAAAGTAGAGGGAGAAGGAAGATGGTTCCGGTGTAGAGAAAGCAAGGTCCAAATGCCCAGGCCATGGCTCCTTGCCTTTCTCTGGGCAAGGACCATGGGGGCCTGCCACAGAACAAGGACAACAGGGGATGAGGAAGGCCACTGAATATAGCCCAGAGGTGTCTTGGTGCAAGCTCCAGTCCTACATGAGGAGTTTGGGAGGGTTTATGGCCTATTAGAGCTCCACTCTAAGAGGGTAAGTGATGCCATATTTTAATTGTCATTAGCAATGAAAAAGTCAGCAGTGAAGAAGCCCAACCTCTCCTACAGAGGAGGGCAGCAGCCCCGTCATTAACCAGGCTGATCTGGCCTCTGGCAGATCATGTGTACGTGCTGAAATGTATAATGGGTGGCTTTTACCCATGGGCTTTTCTATGCATTACTAAGAGGCCAGAGAGATCACAGGCCCTTCAGGTCACAGCAAGCAAGAATCAGTTGTCTTGTGTGCAGAAAGATGGATGCAGAACAGCCCTCTAGCACTGGCACTGCTCAGACTCAAAGATGTTTCCTTTCCCCTGCTCTAAGAAGTTAGAAACAGTTTGGGAACATGAATCAGACATAGGCAGAGTCCCCAAAAATGTTTAGATCTCCCCTCTCCTGGGCCTAAAAGCAGCTCACTTAGTGGAGTCAGAGAAGCTGAGACTTTTTGCTCCTCTGTGTCCTGGCCAGAGCTATAGGTTAACAGGGCTGCTGTCAGCCTGCAGTAGTACCGTTGTGCAGATCAGAAGAGGGTCTCCTCCCTGGGCGTTCATACACAGCATACCCAGTGCAATACCTGCTGAGGAGAGCAGTTCTGCTCCAGACCTCATGCTTGGCACCCAAAGGCAGGATGGATGTAGGAGATCAGGGGTTAGTGCAGGACTTGCTCAGAGGAGCAAGAGGGTTGGTTCCTTCTTAGCTGGTCTGATGATCAGGGAGGCAGGCAATTTCTTAACCCCTGGCTACAGGTTTTTCACTTTAGTCCTTTTTCTGGCCCGCAGAAGGGATTGGTATCTTTGTCCCTTTTGCCAAGAGGTCAGGTGATAGTAAAGAACAAAAGAAAAGAGGTCTGTGTTGCTTCCCCCATATATAGGATGCTCCAGCCCTGTCTTAACAGCTTTTGAGTAGGCTGCATGGCCATAATCCAGTTTTGAGAACTCTAAAGTGACAGGGCCAGGGGTTGGCTTCCAATCCAAGCCCTGGATTCTTCAATCCCAACAGCATTGCTTTCCTCAAAGGTGTCTGGGTTCTCTGAAAGGGCCTGAGACCTCCTGTTACCCACACATGACTTGTACCTTCAGACTTCCTCAGCCCTTGGACTCAGATGTTCTGAAAATTGACAGTGGCCTGGTCTGCAGCACCTAACTCTTTGCTTGGAGAATTTAACACTGGGATTCAGATCTGAGAATCCCAGTCTTATGGCATCTCTGGCCTCGCCTCAGCCTCTGCCCCATCCTCTTAGCACCTGTCCTATCCTGCCCTCATATATAGTTCTTCTTCAAGCAGACTCATGTCTGCTTTGCTCTTCACCCCTTCCTTGCTGAGGTATCAGTGGCCAGGAGGCAGTAAATGTGTGGGAGACCAGAAAGAGGCATATGCAGCTGCTGCCTGCACTCATGCCTGGATAAAAAGAGGAATCCATCCTTGCTCCAGTTTATTCGGTCCAAGCAGAGCCAAATGCAAAAGAGCTCCTTCTGCTCATGATGTCTGGGCTGCCTCTGAGTCATCAGCACTGGCTGCCTAACCAAGGCTGCCCCACCGGACTCCTGTGAGTACACCTACTGCATCATGGCAGCTGTGGACCAGCCCTCCACCACAGCCTTCTTTCTTCACCTACCATGCCACAGCATTTGCTCAATGACAGGGACTTTCTTTCTTGTAGTTCATTGCTGGTGATCTGGGGAAACTAGGATATTTTACTTTTCATCTATGTACTAAATGCCCACCAGGGACCATTAACAGATACCCTATGATGAGATGAGCAATGCTGTGAGGAAAAGCCCTAAGTAAATTCTGGCATGTTTCAAGTGAAATCACATCTGTGCAGAATCTCAAAGGGTAGCAGCTGAAGTAGTAGGAAGGAACATTTCAGGCAAAGGGAATAGCATGTGCTGAGACCTAGAACAGTAAAGCATGTGTGGAGCAGGACGTGTTTGGCATGACTAGATAAATATGACAAGGGCCAGAATAGTCGAAGTGGAGACCAGCAAGATTGCAGCAGTGAGGAGCTCATCCTCTGCTGTGCCAAGGAATTTGAACTTTAGCAGAGAACAAGGAAAGAATTTCAGTGGAAGGGTAAAGTGTTCAGATATGGAATGATTGATTTGATTGATTAAATGATCGATTGATTTAGCACAACAGGATTTATTGAGCTCTTACTATATGTCAGACTCTCCTTAAGTGTTTCACTTTCTCTTCTTAAAAACCCTTTGAGATATGGGTCATTCGTTATTATGCCCATTTGACAAATAGGATAACCCACACCCAGAGAGATCAAATTAGTTCCTCAAGGTCTCACCATAGTAGATCAAGTTTTGAAGCAGGTGGTCTGGCTCCAGAGGATTGGACTTGCTACAATTGAGGTTTAACTGGTGGAGTTGAATTCTGAAGGGAGGTCCAGACTGGAAGTAGAAGTTGTGTCTGATCACTCAAGAGTGGTGGAATGCCCAGACTGTCCACAGCTTAACATGGACCCTAGGGAATATCCATATTCAAGGACCATGTTGAAGAATTCACAATTGAAACTACGAACAAAGAGAAAAAGCCAAGTTTAAGAGTCTGAGACCTTTGTCACATCATCAGAAAGGTAAAAAATGAGGAAGTATGTGAAGAAATTATTAAAATGGCAATTAAGAGGTCCTGGATGACCTTTGAAGTAATAGAGACAGTAGAATGCTGACCGTGGGAACCAACTGCATTAGATGGGGGAGTGGAAGGCGGGTAGGCAAGAGCCGAATGCTCCTGGGGTAAAGAGAAAGAGGTGGACTTCAATATGTACATGGAAGCAATGATAGGAATCTCCCTGTATAGCTATCCTTACCTCAACTAGCAAAAACCCTTTGTCCTCCATATTAATGTTTATACTCTCTCTTCAACAAAATTAGAGATAAGGGCAAAACAGTTTCTGCTTGGAAGTGAGGGGGTAGGGAGGAGAGAGGGGGGAAAGGGGAAAAGGAGGGGGAAGGGGGGAGTAATGACCCAAACATTGTATCCACATATGAATAAAAGAAATTTTTTTAAAAAAGGAATAGGAGGCCCAAAACAAGGTTTTCCAAAATGGGCAAGTTGTTTATAGGCAAAGAGGTAGACACTGTGGGAAGAACAATCAGAAAAATATGATAGAAGAAGATAACTGATAGAAATAGGTGCTCTAGGAAGAAGAGGGTATGATCTAGAGCCCAATTAATTCCCCTTTTTATCCATAATGGATGGAAGAGAAAGAAGTAGCCATGGATGCCCACCTAAGTGCTTTTTAATGGCAAAGTGTGAGTCCTCATAGTCATATCACCCACAGTTATTCAGATAAAGGAGCCTGAAAGTTGGGGGTCAGCAAAAGCAGTATGTACAGGACAGGGGCACTGGTCCACAGAGCAGGCGTTGAGGTCAGTTATATAAGAATAGGTGCCTATAAATGGAAAACCCTTCATTTGGACTTGACCTAATCGGACACTTGGTTACTTTTAGACCAAGTGAGATTTGATAACCTCAGGCAGTTACTTCAAGTATCATACACACAGACCAAAAAAAAAAAAAAAAAAACAGTCTTTATCCCTTTAGGGCAGGTGTAGCTCTGAAAACAGATTGGTGCTCTGACTGGGCTTGGGAAAACGCCACTGTGGCTGATTTCCTGGTCTAAGAAGGTAGAAATGCTGTTTGGAGGCTCCTGGTGGAGTTAATCTTCATTCCAGTTTTTGGCTAGGACCCACTCTCTTCACTTCATCCAGAGAGCATGAAGAAAAGCTGGGCCACTCAGGTATGCCCAGCTCTCAGAAAGATCCCAGGGCCTGCCTCTAACTAAGGAACCCCCTTGGGAAAGGATTCCAACAGTGGTACCCTACTCCTAGGTTAGGGCAGAGCAAGCACCCCCTGATTCCACCACATTCCTAGCAGGAACCTTGGGGAAGAGAGAGTTAACTCTCCCTCCAGCCTCCAGCCGGGGGTTTTCCTGAGAAGATGAACAGTCTGCCTTCCTTATTGTCTGCACCAAAGGAACAGATTGCATCAGTTTGTAAACTGTGTTACCACTTGCAAAGGCCTGGAGTCAGCAGGTTTCCATTTCCCAGAGGACTCCCAACCATGCTGATCACCTTGGCTGCTGCCTCTCTGCCTCAGGCAGGACCAAAAGCCAACCCCCACCCCCCACCCCTTATGCTGGAGTTAGGGAGAAGTCATTCAAAGAGAGAGAAAAAGAAGCCAAGCTCTCTTGCTCACCACCCAGGCTTTCCCTCCATTTCTAGGAGCTCCTTGGCCCCTCTTAGTAGGATGCCAACTGGACCAGACTTCCAGGTATTCCTAGGGCTTTGGCGTGGGCCAGTGCTCAGATGTCAGAAGTTTTCTGGAAAAGCAGTCCACTCTGTGGGTTGGACATGAAAGAGTCATCTGGTCTAGAGGTGAGGGGGGAACCGGAGTGGAGGTGCTGGTAGAGGTAGAGCCTCGCTGTGCCAGCAGCATGTGGAAGATCTGTCCATGCTGCCACCTGCCTCTAGCCTGCCCACTCCCCACCGTGCTGATAGTAATGAGACCAAAAAGGCATTTCATAGGCATTGCCTCCTGGCTTCTGGAGCATTACATTATTAATTGCATTGTGTTAATGTTCATCATCTCTGAAAGAAGTTGCTGTGTGCGTGCGTGTGTGTGCCTGTGTGTGTGTGCGCGTGCGTGCATGTGGGCACACGTGTGCACGTGAGGGGCTAGGAGTGGAGGGCATGAGGTGGCTGTGTTAAGCCGCTACTATATTAAGGTGAAGTGTCCCTTCAAGTTCGTGGCTGTGGCTGTGGCAGCACATTACAGCCTTCACACAGCATCAGTGAGAGTGTACAGCCCAGCCCGGGGGCATGGCTCCCTCTGTGTGGCAGAAAGGGGCCTTAGTCATGTGCTGGGTGCTCCGGATCACAGCCATATTCTCAAAAGGCCGTGGACAGATGAACAGGTGGTGTCTTTGCAATAACAAGATCTGTGGCACTGGGTGGTTTATTTTTTAAACATAGGTCTATCTTGGCTCACAGTCTTGGAGGCCCAAGAGCATGGTGCCAACAGTGGTTCTGGCTTCTGGGCAAGTGCCTCACGGTAGATAGTATCATGTGGCAGGAGAACATGAGAGAGACATAGCACATGAGATATGAGAGGGGAGAGGGGCCACGGTCCTGGGAGACCTACATTGATCTCTTCCAAAGGTGGTGTCCCCATGATCTAATTTCCTTCCACTAGGCCACACTTTGTTTTTTGTTTTGTTTTTGAGGCAGGGTCTTGCTATGCAACCCAGGCTTAACTTAAACTCATGATCCTCCTGTCTCAGCCTCCTTGAGTACTACGATTACAGGCCTGCACCACCATTCCTGGCTTAGGCCCCACTTTTTAGACTTATTACCTCTCACAACCACCCTAGTTGGGGTACTGCCAAACTTGTAGTCCAAGCTTCCAACACATGAATCTGTCAGGGGCAAACCACATCCAAGCCACAGTAGTCAGGAAGAGGTTGGAGTGCCCCAGGGCCCATCTTAATATTCAGTTCACCTTTTTCCATTTGCCCTCTTCCCTTCTGCCAGTTCTCTTCTGGAATGTGATGGTTAATAAGCAAGGCTTCTCCACTTGCCTTCTCTCTCCCATATAACCCATTGTTTTTCTTCTCTTGTATACTCCCAGTTGCAGCCTCCCATGCATACTGTTGCCACCAGCTCTCCCATCCCCAGCCATAGAAAATTCAGAGCAGAAAGAACCTAAGACAGTTCAACTCTCATTTTACAGATGAAGAAACTGAGGCCAAAGCAGGTGCAATGCACCAGCCTGTAGGAGACAGAGCTGGAACCTGGAGTCCAAGGCCTCCTCAGTTCCTCAGTGCCTGTGCAGGCTCTGCTGTGCTTCTCACTGATAGCTTTAAGTTGAGGGAGCAGTTAATTATCTTTTTTGGTGGCACTGGGGTTTGAACTCAGGGCCTTCAATCTTGTTAGGCAGGCGCTCTTACCGCTTGAGCCACTTCACCAGTCCAATGGGGGAGCAGTTAAAAGGGGGATGAAAGCAAGAATTTGCCCTGCAGCATGTGAGAAAGTAGACTTCTGCCTTTGAGGTCTCATTGCACACATACACACACACACACTCTCTCTCTCTCTCTCTCTCTCCTCTGCCCTCTGGAGGAATTAGTAGCCAGCACCCTACTGGGTGGGGGTCCTGTGCTGCCTAAGGCAGCCCACCTCCCTTGGGGTTGAAACACAACCCCCACTGCTGTGTTTCAGGCATTCTTCAGACTCCCAACCCCTGGGCTGAGGCTGGCTAGAGGTTCAGTCATTTCCTGTGCTGCCTTAGGCATTGTACATAGGCATTGCCAGTGCCCTTGGGGGAGATACCTGTTCTTCATCCTCCTGGCAAACACTGGAAAGACTGGTACCTGTAGGGGGAGGAGGGGAGGTTCCCTGCCCATTGCCAATAAATCCCATGTGGAATCTCTCCTCTGGCTGGCCAGAATCTTTACATGGAACCTGGATCCTCATGCTGTCTTCCCCTATTCTACATTTTTTCAAATTTGCTTGCCCTTGGTGCCCTTAGCTGCCTTGTTTAAGCTAGCTGCAGAGGCAGCTCTGGTGCATGCTTTCTCTTTTTCTCTGCATCCCAACTGCATCGTGACCCTGAGAAAGCTTCAGGAGAGGGTTGTAGGTCTACAGTTTTGCCCTTTAGCACCACCACTAGGCATCCAGCTCAGCTCCTTCCCCAGAAGAGTTAGGTCAGACACAGCTCTAAACCCTGAGGCAGGCAGTTTCCTCTGTGGTTTGATGCCTGAATTCTTCAATAATCTCCCTGCCCCCACACACACACACAAACACACACTCTCTCTGTCTCTCTCTCTCTTTAGGAAAGGTTCAGAATCTGAAGGCTAATTGGCTGGGGAGGGCCAGGAGAAGTTGAGAAGAGAGTGTTAGCATTCATACAACTAACTAATCAGCAGCCCTTACCTAGCTTTCCTTCTCTTCCTTCCTCTACACCCTCGGTAAACCCCAAGTGGCTCCCTAGCCTGCCCTGCACCCCAGGCTAGGAGTGAGCCTCCCCACTTAGAGCAGAAGAATTGACACAGCCCCACTGCCTGTCTGGTTGAAGTAGTTCCTGTGTTAAGGAGCTGGACAGAATCCAGATGAGGGGGAGAAGGGGACAATTTGGGGGTGGAGACAGGGAATGAGTATGTATTTCTGGAATCCAGGGCATGGAGGCCACTGAGAGAGGGGCTATAAGAAATGATACAAATTCCTGGATACCACCCTCCTCCCTTTTGCTCACAGCCACTGTTCTGGGAGATCAATCCAGTTCCCTTCTTCCTTTCCCCTTCTCCCCTTCCTCACCCAGCCTCAGCCAGAATGGGTGATCCCACAGCCCCCTGGGTGGGCACAAGGTATGCATGTTGCCTGAGTACCAGGAGCTCTTCCTCAGTAATTAGGAGACATGCAGATTAACAGCCTGTGCCGTTTGTATTAATTTGGTAAATAAGCCAGAACAATTTCATTAGTGGCACATTAATGTGCTTGGGAGCAGGAGGACATGTCCCACTGTGAGCAGTGGAGACTGCTAGCTGCCCCAGCCCACAGACAGGTCAGGTCCAGCATGTCTAGCAGCTTGCACCCTGGGCGTGGTTGGCTTGCAGCCCCCATTTCTTTGACCCTATGATGGGGAAAGACCCCCCAGACTAAGCAGAAAGGCATCTGTCTGTTCCAGTGGGTATGGGGACAGTCACACATCTGAGCTCTTTATTTCAATCTGCCTTACCTTTACTCCTGCATTGTGTGTGAGGAACCTCTGGTGTAAGAGACCCAAAGTTTTTCAGGGAGCGAGAGAGAGAAGTAGCTCATTAAGCAGGGATTGGTCTCCAGTTGCACAGACCCAGTGCACAGATTTGCCAGGCAGGACAGCTGCTGGATGTAACCATTGCAGAGCTGCAGGACCAGCCAGTGAGCTCTTGGCACTGATTGATTGGAGGAAGAAATAGCTTCATGTTTCCTCACTTAATACACAGTACCCTCTCCTCATTTTACAGTTAAGGAAACAGTATAGGAAAGGACATGTGACCTGCTCTCAAGGTTCACAGCCAAAGCTAAGAGTTGAACCCCAATCCATCTGACTCCAAAATCCATGCGTCACTTACTCTTTCAAGACCAAAGCAGTACATACACCAACTCTGGGGAAGATTCCAAGCTTGAAGAAGCTTTATTCCCCAGGGAGCTGACAATGTAGTTGGAGAATACATGAAATAAGTACCCCTACCAGGAGGTAAGAAAATGATGATTGTGATCACTGTCATGATGAAGCATTTCTAGTGCTTAATATAGTTGTATTAGCACATTTAATAATTATAACAATTCTTTGAGGTACGTACTGTTGTAATCCCAAGTTTCCAGCAGAGTAAACAGAGGCACAGAGAACTTAAGTTACTCACCAGGACTCAGGCATATGGCAGATGGGTTCGAACTCATTTGGCTCCACAGTCCATGCTCTTAACCTCTATGCTATATTCTCCCTAAAAGCTATAGCAGTAGTGAGCCCACAGGTGATCAGACGGTAGCTCCCTGAAGACCGGGGTCAAAAGCACGTGCATGGAGAAAGTGGTGTTGAGGCTAGAAAGAGCACAGCTCATAAGGACTGGTCTAGCCCACAAAACACACACCCACTCTGCCAGCATCAAGGGCAGAGGTCCAGACAGGTACTGGCAGACCAGCAAATGAAGCAGTCACAGTGTCCTTCAATCCTGAGGATCACAGTTAACCTTCAGGCATCTCAGCTCCCCACTTCTATCTTTAACCAGTTATGACAAACCACTTCCTTAGGGTGGCACCACCTGCCCCTTCTCATGATCTCTTAGGAGGGGCCTGCCACCCCCAGAGCCATGTGTCCCCTTAGGTCTCAGCTTCAGCATGTACACTAAATAGGACACTGAAGAGAAGAGCCACCATCTGTCCTTTGCTGACGCTGCTTGTGTACATGCATACACATACTCTAAAGGCTATGTCCACCCACATGTGTACACAGCAAATGCCCACACACGTGAAACTAGCTCCCAGCCTTCTGGCAGCCCATGGTCATCAACCAAGGCCTATATTCCTTGATGTCAACTACCACTGTAGGAAACTATGAAAACTATTGAGTCCAGATCTCTTCCGAAACACTCCAAGATGCTGAAGAGACAAGTAGCTTTATTATATGGCACTTTGCACTTTACACAACACTCCACGGGTAGGATCTCAGTTAATGCTCACAATAAACAAGAAGAGGCTTCTTTGAATAAACCTCCCCTAATACCTGTCTTTAGTTTGAGGCAACTTGTAGGAAACAGCTCTCTATATGTGCATTTTGCGGGTCATATATTTGCAAGCTTACATACTCAGTAAAATTTATGTGCAACCCCAAGATCAGTTCTTGTCCTTTTGCAGTCGTTTGTGAACAAGCACAGAGTGGTAGAAACCTTGAGTCAGTTGGCAAGCACATTCCCATGTTAGGTTGAATAAGGCAGCACTCTGTCTTCTTTTTGTAGTTTTATGAGCATAATTAGGTGACCTTTTGTGCTGTGTTTAGTATCATGCATTTTGCTGGCATTTTGTAGTTTAAAATAATCCCAAGTAAGTAGTGCTGCAAGAGGGCTAGGCAAGCCATTCTCTTGCCTCAGCCTACCAAGTAGCTGGGACTGCAAGTGTATGCAACCAATTCTGGCTCTTTTTTTTTTTTTTTTAATTAAAGGTAAATGTCAGAGAAATCTGAGTCTTAGAGAACTAGAACTTGTATAGACACAGATCCACATGAAGTTACAACTAAGCCACAAATTCCTGGCAGTCAGGAGAAACATGGTGAAGAATACACACATATTTCAACCTAGGAGCTCCCTGCTTGACCCTCTGCTTGCAAACCCTCTCCCCCCACCCAATTCTCTCAGAGCCAGAAGAGTCAGCACCTAGACTGTCCAGGGTGTATCCAAAGGTGGACATAGTGCAGGACTTGTCTAGAGCGGCTGGGATCAATGTGACTCCAGAGCCAGCCTGAACAGTAGCCTATTCACCTTCCCCTGGGAGCCTTTGTTTGACTGAGAAATTATGGCGGTGGCAGCTGTAATGAAAGGGGAAGCAGAGCCCCACGGGTGACAGCAGCATCTCCTTCTACAACCCGAGATGGATCCGGTAGCAACACAATGCCCAAGGCCAGATATTTATTTCTTCTGCTGCTGGCTGGGCCCAGGGACTTGTCAAGCCCAAGTTAGCACATCCGTCGCAGTCAGGGAGAAGCTGGATAAATGTGAAGTCAGAGCTCACTTGCCAAGGAGATACCTGCTGCTCCCTGGCAGGTTGGCCCCGAATGTGGTAGCTAGTCACTGGGTTCTCTACAGTGAACCTTGAAGAGAAGCAAGCATCTCAATTCTGGCCTTAGAGAACATGGTGTCAGTTTGGAGTTTGCCATGTGGAGTGAGGTCTGAGCATGGCACCTTGTTAGATGAGAGGGATAGTGCCTGGTTGCCCCAGCAACCTGTCTCCAAGCTTCTTACATCAATCCCAGCTGCCTGCTGCAGAGAACCACACTGGCCCACCAGTCTAGAGGGCCCTCCCTGTCTGGAGGAAAACTGTGGCCATGGGTGGCAGCTTTGGTTTTAGAAAAAGGACATTTGTCTGCTAAAACTGTGGAAGACAGGTCAGGGAATGGGGAAATTGCTGTGGTTTGGACCTGGGCTCTGTGTTGGCTAAAAACTGTACCGTTCTTACTTGCTTTGGGCTGGTCATGTGTCCCCTGAGCCTCCAAACGCAAGGCAAGCAGCCTCTCTGCTCATCCTTCTGCTACCCCTAAATTCCTTTGGGACTTGCAGCTTCTTGGCCATAGCATGTTTGATGAATCTCAGCAAATAAAGACAAAGAAGAGGTGATCTTCCAGAATGGCATCATGCCCAGCATAGTTCTTGTCCCACCACCACAGAACTGACAGCCTCTTTCCCATTACACCCACACCTGCCCTTCCCCCACACACTCAGTTCCCTCAGGCCTGGATGTGGAAGGAGTCAGCATTGCCCAGGGGAAAGTGGACTGGGGGCTAGTGTGGGTGGTAGAAGTGTTGCTCCTAAAGCAACAGGCTGTGGGAAGGAGGGGGTGAGGGAAGGCCTGCTCTGCTTGGAGGTGATGTAGAGAGGCAGCAGGGCAGCCTTGACTTTGCAGGTGGCCCTGCCCTCACTAGCTGTACTTCCACGTTCCATGCCTTGGTTTCCCCCTACAATCAGAAGTCAGACTGAATCTGTATAGTACCCTTTTTTATGACCCTAAGAGACCCTGCATATACACATTTTGTACCTCACCCAACTAAAAGCATTGTTGAATTTGCATTTCCACTTAAGTCCTAGTAGTAGGACTCAAATGAGAAGTGTTGGAAAATGAGAATTAGTCAGGGTCCTGCCTCCCTTGCTGTGTCCTTTTTGCTCTCCATTACCTTTTCTCTACCCCCAGCCACCTCTCTGGGGAGTCCTGTTACCCAACATCTCCTGGCTCCCTGTCTCATCCCTTCTAGCCCCCTACCACCAGCTCTAACTTAGGCTTTGAGATTTCCCAGGTATTTAGACATTCATTTTATTGTTTAATCGAGCTTGAAGCCATTTAAATTAATACACGTTTTTACATTTAGCAGCAAAGGCTTTTATAGCCCCTTTAGCAAAGGAAGAACGAGGTTAAGAGAAAATCAAGGAAGAAATTTATTCTGGGCCATTGCCTTTCTGAGGTAGGGGCAGATCACCAACCACAAAAGAAATAGTCCTAAGGCCACACTCTTGAAGGAGCAGAGCAGTCAGCACCAGATCTGGGGTCTTGGGGGTAGATCCCTCATCAGAAGGGGTCCAGGAGCCCTTAAACCCTACAGGAATTTCTGAGGAGCCTAGGGTCCTGTGGCCTAGGTTCCAGACTTATTGTAGTGACCACATCCTTCCAACTGCCCCTGTGTGCTTCCACAGTTCTTGCCCACATCTTCCTACCTCAGCTGGCCTCTTTTCTTCTCTCCTCTCTTGACTTCCTGGTAGCCACTTTAGTTACCTTTGTTAAACATTGATCCTTTCAGCTCCTCCAAAAAGAATGCAGTCTCCCTTTTCCCAAGAGGTTGCCTGCTCCCCCAGGCCCCACACAGAGCTGGGGTACATGCTGAAGAAGAATGGGATGCTCTGTCTGCTTCTTATCTTACTCCTGACCCTCAGCCATGAGCACTTGCATACATGACTGGCGGGTACTCCCCCAGTTAAGTCAAGTAGAATCAAGTGTACCCCAGTAGCTCTCTGCCAAAAGGAAGGGTCTAAGAGGGGTCCAAGTGCATGGATACTAGAAGTTCCTACTCTTCTTCCCTGGTTCCAGATGCTCCTGCCATGTAGAACAATCGTATCCAAAATCTGGGAGCCTGAGTCCTGGCCTCAGCACCATTCTTCTCCCGTGTGCACTCAGAACTTTCCCTACAGACTTGACACCCCATGTTTCTGTCCCCAGGTGGAGGTAGAGGTGGAGAGCATGGATAAAGCTGGCAACTTCATCGGCTGGCTGCACATGGATGGCGCTAACCTATCGGTCTTGCTTGTGGAGCAAGCGCTCTCTAAGGTCCACTTCACTGCCGAGCGCAGTGCCTACTACAAGTCTTTGCTATCTGCTGAGGAGGCCGCCAAGCAGAAGAAAGAGAAGGTACAAGTGTGGTATTTATTCCCCAGCATGTGCTCATTCTTGCCTCCCTTCTTCCCACATGCCTCCATAGGTGTCTGCCTCCAAGAATAGGCCTAAGTGGCTCTGTTTCCCCCACACTGAGTGGCCCAGGACAGTGGTGGTCTCAGATTTCTCATCAATGTGCTATGCTCAGTCAAGGGAGAAGTACCAGCTTAGGCAGCCTTGGCCAAAAGCCTGTTGCAGACCTGAGGTAGACTTGAGCTGCCACCCTGGAAGATTCCCCAGTGATCCCCAGGCCTGCTTGGGTGGACCTGCATCAGGACACTGTCTGGAAGTTGACCTTGGAGAAGTGGGAGAAATGACTAGGGAATCACTGGCAAGGAGGAACCTGGTGCTGCCCTCCTTCTCCAGCCCAGACCCTTCTATGTCAGTGCCCTCTAAGGGACTGGGCAGCCCACAGTGCTAGTCTGAATTTCCTTCACATCACCCTGCAGAAAAGCAGCCCCAGGAGATGCATAAAGCTGTTGGGACAGCAGATTTACGGCCCATCAGTCTCTGCAGACACTGCATTAAAGAGACAAGGGGGGTGGGGTGAAAAGCAGCTTTTGGAAACAAATTGACAATTAAGGAACTTGGTTTGGGGGTGGGAGCCAGTTTCAGCACCCCCATAGTAGGCTGTCTCCTTTGACTTATAGCTTGGCCCAATAATGGGGATAAATCAGCCGGCCACCAATTTGTCAGGACTTCTGAGCTTGAGGAGGATTTTGTGGGACAGCCTTGCTGAGCCATAAATTTGTTCCAGGAATAAACGTTTCCTTCCCCGTGGAGAAGCCATTTGGCTCAAAACATGCTTCTTAGAGCCAAGGCCCAGTCACTTGCCAGCAGGAGTGGGGGGCTTTGTGCCTCTAAAGGCACCACATTCTCCCTCAGCCCAGAGCAGCTACTTCCTCACTCAGGACCAATCTCTCTTCCTCCTGGGACTAGGCCCAAGGACCTGGATCTCTGTCTCTTCTTCCATCCACTGAGAATTAGGACAGGTGATCTACCCACTGAGGACAGGTGTATAGACTCCAGGAGGAGGTGGCTTAGAAGGCCAGGGTAGGCAAAAGAGACTGTCTAGACCCTGAAGGAATTAGCCTCACAGCCTCAGAGGAGGTTTTCCCCCTTCCTTGCTCCAGTTCCTGCTTAACATTAAATCCTGTCTTCCCAGAATGATGGGGGAAGCATCGGGAAAGGAGTCACACAGTTACTGTTGGATTTCCTGCTTGTGACAGCTGAGCTTAAGACTGCCACCCCCGTGTCCTCTGGCTGTTGTAAGGAGGTAGAGGCAAAGGCAATGCCGGGGCCTCCTGTTACAGGGCTGATCCTTCCCAGGAGGGACGAGGCAGGGACCAGCATGACAACCCTAGAGGCCAGGATCCTGAGCAGATGGCACCTTTGCCCCAGGTGTAGTAGCTGGCTACTCAGCCCATGACAACTCATTTGAGCCTAGAAGCTGCCTCCTCAGATCTGTCTCTTCAAGTAGAGACCCAGCAAGACTATAAGGAAGACCAGGAAGAGGAATCTGGTCTGAGAGGGAGGGCTGGTTTCTTGCCAGGTGCTGAACTGGGCATCCTTATTGACTACACAGTAGATTTGTCTGAAGGAGGCCAACTTGTCACTTTGCTGGTGCTACTTGATGCCGAGAAGTAATTATTAGTGATTAACTACTTACACAGGTTGCCCATTTTTATTTATCCAATTAGAATGCAATGGACAACTCTCAGAATTGGGCTGTCCTACCTCCGAGGTCCCTCTCCTTCAAATCTCCATCCACTTAAGGATCCTGAGGGCCCAGGCTGGCTTTCCTCCTCCTAGAGGACTGGGTCCCCCCAGCATTGGCAGAGCCTTATAGTGGCCCTTAGAGTTGCCTGGACTCAGGTGAAAGAATTTGGAGGACAGTAACCTGAATATCAGAAATGATGAGAGGTTTCCTGAGTTTGAGCAGTGTGATTATGTGTGCAGGCATTAGTGTGACAATTGTAGCTTGACAATGCTGGTTTCCCAGCTGTAAGGACTTAGCTAACTCACTGCTGGGTTTAATTCCTCCTTGTACCCTCCCTTGCTCTGCAGGGGACTGATAGTGAGTGACCTCCGCCTCCCTCTCAGGGGTTCTGGGCAGACCTGAGGACCAGAGAGGTAACCACCGATGGCAGCAGTTAGACTGTCTCCCACACACACACTCATACCCAGCCAGGCCCTGGACGCAGCTGCATTGGCCATTGATTGGCTTTTATTGAGCTTGGCTTCCCTGCTGCGGGCTTGATGTCCTCTGCCACCCTGGCCTCATGCCAGCCCCACCCCTGGAGCCCTGTGAGCAGAGATATTAAATAGGATTTAGAGAGGAAAGACTCCAGCCAGTGGAGCCCCAGTCTGTATTTCCCATCTCCTGCCAGGAGGAGGACCTGAGGCTCCCGAGGGAGGAAGTACAGGGCCCAGAGAGATCAGGAAGAGAGACAGCCTCCACTTCTGTTCTGGCCTGGCCTTGCATGTGCCTGGTATATAGGCTTCTCCCTGTTTGGGGGTGGCGGGGGGGGGACAGCTACAGCAGTGCAGAGGGAACTGAGCAAGATAGGAACTTGCCTGGCGGAGGAGGGCTGTGCTTCACCACCAGTGCCCAACTTAGTCTGCATCCAGGACTATGGAGGGTCACGGCAGCGTGGTGCCTCGGGACAGAGTTGCAACCTGGCCCTGCCTTGGAGCAGAAGAGACACCGTTCTCCAACCTGACCATAAACCCCACTAGCAATCAGAGCTGGCAAGGCTTCTCCACACTAATGTACTTAGAGGTGGCCCAAGAGCAGGGGCAAACCCCCTCCCTGGGTGGTCTCGAGCATCCCTGGACCCTGCTGCGTAGGCCAGACTCAGGTATCCTCTGCCTAGCATGTTGGCTGTGGGGGTCCTTCCTCAGCCTTCCTTCTGAGAAGAGTCTGGGGGTAGAGACTTAAGGCACTAGCTCTGTGTAGGTATGCATAACTATTGTTCCCTCTACCAAAGATCTTTGGGTTTTCCTAGGCTTTTCCCCAGGGAAAAGAAACATTCACCATGGGGATTCTTCAAAACAAGTGTTGTGTCATAGATTTGTGTCCAGAGAGGCTTGGGATGATGCTGGGCAAGTAGTACCTGTCTCTGGCAGGTGTCTTGCTAATGTGTCTGTCTCCTGCACTGTGTGCAGAAGAGTATTGTCAGTCAGTAAAAGCAAGCTGCACCCTTGTACTAAGGGTGGGGTATTGGGCAGCTAAGCCCATCCCAGCCAACTGACTCCATCCCACCAAAAAGTCATTTGGTCAGGCTGCATTTACTAGTTTGCACAGGGCTACTGGCAGCCAGATACCAGGGAACAGCTGAGCTGGCCCCTCCAAGAGAAAAAGGGAACCCTTGTGGCGCTACCATCCAGAGGAACCCTGCTTCTGAGAAACAAGTTCCTTTCCTCAGGAGTTACTCTTCTTATTCCACCCTTGGGTGCTTCTTGGCAACCTCAGGCACCAGCTATTCTTTGTAGAGGCAATTTGCTTTTATTGTCAACCCAGCTCAGGTGGCAGTACACACTCCTGTGTCCTACTGCCAGGTGAGCCAAGGGATCTTGTCACAGATCTGGCCCCAGAGCTAAAGGGCTGAAGGTCAATTCCTGAGGCTTTTGTTTACATCACTCATTACCTCAGCTTGCAGCCCACCTGAGCCTGCTGGAAATGAAGCTCCACCCTCTCTCCCCAGGGAGGAAACCTGATGCTGTCGCTGGAGGCTTTTTCACTTGAGGACTCATTAGCAGTTTCTGTTCTCATCCTGTCAGTCTGCTCCCAATTGATGACACAGCTGAGAGTGCTTTTCCCCACCACCCCAGAGAAACAGGGTGGGGTTAGGATGGAGGCCCTGCAAAGCTCCCAGGCCTAGGGCCCACTCACAAGCCAGCACAGGGGCCCTGTCTCTTTACAAAGCTGAGTGCTGAGGGAAGAGAGAGCTAGAAGGAAGAGTGGGCAGCTGAGGGGAGGGCTGCTGCAGTGAGTGGGAGCACTTGGAGGGGTTGGAGGCATGAGTGCTGGCAGGGAAGAGGGCAGACCTCCAGGTCAGGAAAGTGACTGGCAGATAGTACAGAGCTCAGCTCCAGCCCATTTAAGGTGTTGATGACAGTCTCATCTCAGAGACAGTGCAAGTCTCATCGATCCTTGGGGCTGTAAGGCCCCAGAGGGCCTAGGAGCTCAATCAATAAGAATGACTGGCTGAGGTGGCCCAGGAGGAAGGGCCCAGTCTCATCAGGATGGAGGCCCTGGAACTGTAGGCATCTGTGGCTATCTCCCAAAAGCCTCTCACAGGAAAGTCACCAAGCTAGAGGCCCTCTCCCACTGTGGGCCTGGTGAGCTTTTGAAGAATTCAGCCACCAGCCTGGGATCTGAGTGGAGGCAAAGCTGTGGATTAAAGTCCTGCAGCCTTCCTCTTCTGGCTGGCCAGGGCTGGGGGGTATTAGAAGCAGTAGTGAGTGCCAAGATCTCTGGGTGCTGGTGATGGGGACAAGTATTAGGTGTCTGGAGCCTTAGAAAATAAGAGAAGATCAGGAGCTGTTTGTGTTAGAGCCCAGCCACAGATCAGAGACCTATAAGTGCCACCTCTGAAGGCACTGCTCTGTAGAATGGCAGAAAACTTGGGCCTTCAGATGGTCCTCAGCCATTCCCAACAGCCTCTTCTGGACTGGGATAATCCTCATTGCTTGCCTCCCCTTCTGGTAGAACACACACATACACACACACACACACACATGCCATATTAAAGACCTAAGGAGGTTCCATATTGTAGCATCCCTGCTCTTCAGCTCCTTCCTAGGGCCACCCAGAAATTTGTATTTCAGCTAATAGCCACCATCTCAGTGATTGTGTAATAATTTTATAAGGGAAGAATAGAGACCCAGAGACAGTACAAATGAAACACAAATTAAAGGGCAGTAGACAAGAGGCTACATCTCCTAAGCATTTCCCACTCAGTACTGCCTGTTTCCTCCAGGACATCCAGTCAGTACCAAAGCATCCCTGGATCCACCACTTCTGACTACAAGCCTATAAATCCCAGTTTCCTTGTTTATAAAACAGGGATAATGTTACTCCTATTCAAAAGGTTGTGAGGACTAAATGAATTGATATTTAGAGACTGTTTAGAATGGCACCTAGCACTAGTAAGCATATAAATTTCTGGCTAATATTTGGGCCACCCCTGTTCCTGTTTGCAGGGGTGTCTGAAGGACCACCTATGTGGTCTGGTTCCCACATTCCCCCACCTCCTTCCTGCAGCTCAGCTAGAAAGAAAGCTACCTTCTCCCCTGCTCTGACAGGCCTCACTACTTGGATAATCTCCCGGCCACGGGATTGGACTTGACGCACTGTCACATCCAATCAGCTTCTGAGCCACTGCAGTCCTGACAGCACAGGACTTAGAGAGCGGGAAGGGTGGAGATAGGCAGTCCAGCTTCTGAGCCAGGTCAGAGTAACCTGCCGGAGGTGAGGGGGATGGAGCAGAGGAAAGTTGCTGAAGAGACACATTCTTGCACAGTGATGAGCCCTCCATCTTCTGGAGTGCCTCAGAAGTGCCTGTGGCCCTGGGACTGGGGTAAGGGGAGCGTGGAGAGTTGAGTGACCCTGCAGAGCACTGTGGGAAGTTAAGTAGAAATCTGGAACTCTAGAGGTGCTGAGTGGGGAGCCCAAAAACAATGTGATTCATTAGAGGGGTTCTCCCACTCTGGTATGCATGAGGGTCACCTGGGAGCTTGGTTTTGTTCTTGTTTGACTCTCTTGGTGACCCTTGTAACAGCTGCTAATTTGGTAGGCCTGGAGTTGGACACAGGAGCCTGCATTTTTAATCAGCTCCCCGTTGTTTCTGTTGTCTGCCAGATTCTGAGAACTGGTGGAGCAGAAGGTCTTCAGAGAGAGTCATCTCCCCCTCAGAGGCAGGGGGGCTCCAGAGACTCAGCCCAGCATGATTCCAGTGCCCTGCAATGTCCCGCTCCCATGCTCCCTCCAGGGGTGACCGTATTTGACTAAAGCCCTTTTTCTGTATCCTCTTTGAGTGCACTTCTTATCTACTCTGCCCTCTGCTGCTGTACATGCAGGTCTGGGCCCACTATGAGGAACAGCCTGTGGAGGAGGTGATGCCTGTGCTGGAGGAAAAGGAGCGATCTGCTAGCTACAAGCCAGTGTTTGTGACCGAGATCACTGATGATCTGCACTTCTACGTACAGGATGTGGAGACTGGTAAGTGCTTAAGTGCTGCTGGCTCATAGCTCTGGCATGGTCCAACCTTCCTGGGGTTCCAGGAACCTCCCCTAAGTTGCTCACACTGTTGCCTACTGCCACACCTACCCAAGAGTCATATCAGGAACCTCAAGTGAGCCCTGGAATGGGCACGGGCACATGACAGGGCTGAGCAGGTCCTCTGAGAACGGGTAAGATAACAGATTTGTCTGGGAGGCACTCTGAGAGTCTTAGGTAATGGTTTTGCTTCCAGATACTCCAGGCTGGGCTGGGCATGAGTATTGAGTCAGGAGATGAGCAAATCATCAATGTAGGGTCAGGAAGCTGGGGTGGTTCAGTTTCTCTCTCCCCCAGTTCCCAAGAAGAACAGGAGGAGTAGAGACCTTGGTTCATCTCTGCTGGGGTTTCACCTTCCCCAGAGGTTAGCACAGCCTGAGTGGTGTCCAGTTTCCATGGCAACAGGCAGAATCCAGGAGAAGTCATCCCCTGGCGGTCTTTGTGAAAGACTCTGTCCTGTCTCCAAGGGCTATGACTGGTCAGGGTCCTCAAGCAAAAGACCTCGGGCTTCTGCAGGACAAGACAGCAGAGACCACTCTGACAGCAGCTGGCTCAACTCCACTGCTTTTCCTCTCGCACCCTACCTCCCTACTCTCCATGCAGAGAAACAATTTAGTTGGGAGCAAAGGAAGAAGCTCTTAGAGCCACCTTTGAGTCCAAGGAGCCAAATCTAGGTGGAGGGGCTGCCGATGTCACTGGCACTTTGACTGGGCAACCCCATGGATGGAAGGATGCAGCTCTAACTAGTCTCCTTCAGTCAACCCCCAGGCCCACTCCAGATTGCCAACAGCCTCGTCTTAGCCACTTCCCCTCTAATGATATTCCCAGCAGCTGCTTTTATGGCTATGTCATTTCACCAAGAAAAACTTGCCCATTCCTCACCCTGGGTTGGCTCTGCTTGGGAAGGGAAAATGTGGGGGAGGGTAGAAACAAAGCCGATGGACCTTTGGGATTACAGTTCTCATGAAGTCAGCCACAGTCCTGGTGAAAGCTGGCCCAACCATTGCCTTGGAAATGAGGCAGCCAGCCTCTAGGTCTGGGTTGTGTGATGGGAAAGGAGTCTTGCGTCATGGTGTAGGTAAGAATAAGCTGTTCAGGAGCAGAAGAGCCAGCTAGAATGGCCCTCAGAGAGTTTGGAGGAGGGGAACACTTAAGTAAGTCCTGCCCAGGGTGCAATGAGACTCCTAGCAGGCTCTACCTGGGGAGGGACCCACCTTGACTGGTCCTGACATTTCCAGAGGGAAACGCTTGTAACTGCCTTGGCTGCTCTAGGAAGCCAGGGCAAGAAAAGAATGGTATCCAAAGCAGAAAATGAGGAGAGAAAACTGCATTTCTAGAATGTTGGAAGGGAAGGGTGTGAGGGACTTCATGGCACGCCACTTGGAGTTATCACTGGCTTATAGTGGTGGGCTACAGGGAGGACCCTGCTGCCCTCAGGTGGCTCCAAAAAAATCCATGAAAATAAACCTCAGGATCCTCCTTCTTCTGAACCCTTCTGTCTCTTCTGAGGGGATATCTCTTACTTTTTCTCCTTCTCTCAATTAAAGCCCACCTTCTAGAAGTACCTGGTGAAAACATTGACACTGGTTACAAATGACCAACCAGACTTTGGGTATGGACCTCCTAAAGGCTGTTGGCAAGAGGCACAGGCCATATTCTGTTGCCTGGGAGCAAAACTGTACAATAAAATAAAAGTGGACCCAGTAAGGTAGAACCTGTCAATGGAGAGGCTTCTTAATACCTCAAGTATGACTGTAAGTAAGGAATGCTGTCTACAAAGTGCCTGCAAGGGGTCACCACGGTGTAGGGAAGGGCAACTGCTGCCTAAGAGTCAGAGTTCTGAAACCCAGTCCTGCAACTGCTAGGACCATGGCTGTGTGGCATTCTGAAAGTGGACATGTGTGCATATGCAGAGATCATTTGCAGTGCAGGTGAATTATTAAGCATCTTGCATGTGCTGGGAATTTACTACACCTGTGCGAGTAAACAGAAACAAGTGAGCTATGGTCTGTGCCCTGAAGGAGTTCACAGTGTAGTGGCAGAAACATAAACACAGACAAGGAGCATATAGGGCTGGTGGCAAGTATAACAATAATAAACAAGTGTTCTGTACCTGTTCCAGCATGGCCTTTGGCCCCAAAGAAAAAGAGGACTTTCCACACTTGGACCACACATCCACAGCTCTGTCCTCACCTCTGAGAGGAAAGAGGGCAAAAAGGGTCTGAGGCCGAGCTAGAATCAGCACCAAAAGGGCCATAGGATCTAGGAGACCAGATTCCTCAGAGGTGAAGCCACAGAGAAATGATATCTAGCAGAGTGGGGGCAGGGAGCACACAGAAGGAGGGATTGGGGAAGGAAACTGAGGAGACCTCAAGTGCTGTGATAACTGACCAGAAAAATTGTAGACAAACAAGCAGCAGGGACTGCTGATCCATGGCCAGAGAAATTAGAAAAAGACAAAGCAGGGAAGGGAGACTACTGTCCCCAGTTGAAAAGAAGCATGAGGGTGGGAGGTGGGAGGTCAGAGCCCAGTCTGGCAGCACTAGAAGATCTTGCAGAGTGATGAGGGTCAGAGTGGCCTCATTTGAATAGACTGTGCCTCTGGGCCCTGCTCCCAGAATTCCCTATCTTTCATGGCTCTGATTCTGAGCTCCTTTCCTTCCTTCATCTTGAAGGGATCCATCCTTCATCTTCACTTTGCCCCCAAGAGATACTGGGCATAGTGGCTTCTATCAGTCATACCTCTGTGGCCCTTGTAAGAATGGGGTTCAAACTGGTCAGCTCTCACCCTGGAGGAACCTGTTCTGCCTCGGCCTTGTCCCATGTCCATCTGCCTTCCAACATCTTCAATCAAGGCCCTGCTACATTTCCTAAGGCTCCCACAACCCTGACCAGTAGATTGGAAGACCCTAACTGTCAGCAAGTCACCAGTCCACTTTTGAAATGGACAGCAATAAAGCCTCTTGGGCACAGACCACAGAGGACAGACCCACCCAGATGTTTCTATCCCTGCCACATCTCATCTTCTTCATCCCACAGGCACCCAGCTGGAGAAGCTGATGGAGAACATGCGTAATGACATCTCCAGCCACCCCCCTGTGGAGGGCTCCTATGCTCCCCGCCGGGGAGAGTTCTGCATTGCCAAATTTGTAGATGGAGAATGGTAAGTCACCTGGAGCAGCAGGGCATAGTCTTACACAGAAGGGAGAGCAGGGCTGTCCTAGAACCCAGACTTGCAAAGCTATAGCCAGATTCCAGACATTTTCTTTACTATCTGCTTTCTGCCAGCTCTCCAGAGTGTCCCTCCTTATCATTAACAGCCCTTCTGGGGCCTGCACTTTGGCCCATGAGCTCCTTAAAGTCCAACCAGCCTCCATGGGTAGAAGGACGAAGTGGTGTCTCTCCTCTCTCCTTGGGGAAGTCCATGGTGGGAGCGCTGGCTGGCTGACTGGCTAGGACTCTTTGACACTGCCCTCACCCCTCACAGGAAGAATGATGTCACAGGAGGGAGAGAAAGGCGGGTTCGTAGTGAGCCCAGACCAGCCACCTGACCCTTCACTCCTGCTGTCTGGGACACGAAAGTAGCACTCACAGGCCCAAAAAAGGTCACTTATGTGTGATCTTCCAAGGGTAGGGCCCATGGCCTTCCCAGGGTGACAAAGTGACTTGGATGTGTTCCCTACTGCAGCCTCCCAGACAGATCTGCTGGCTAATTACAGCTGCTGTTTAGTGTGCTGGGTTTAAACAGCAGACATCAATCTAGTCATTAGTCTTGTTGCTTTATGCCCCAAGGACACATTAATCTGCTCCACGTGCTCCTCTCCCTCCTCTGCTCCCAGCTCTGCTCTAACTCCATTAGATGGTGTCCACAGCACCCTGAGGCTGGGCCTCAGCAGAGTCCGTGAACTGCCCTCTGTGACACCCAGAGACTCTGGGCAGGAAATGCTGTGTCTCCTGTTAAGGCTCCAGGGAGATTAGGTCCCCCGGGCTGTCCCTTGAGCTCTGCCCATGATACCATTGCAGGTACCGTGCCCGTGTAGAGAAAGTCGAATCTCCTGCCAAAGTGCACGTCTTCTACATCGACTATGGCAACGTGAGTGCTGGGGACCAGGGGTAAAAGAGCAAGCAAGGGAGAAAACCATGTACATTTTGGGTGCATCTGCCCCCTGAGTGACCAGACAGAACAGCTGTCTGTGACCAGAGGTCCAAGAGCACCAGTAGGTTCTACATGTAGGCCCCAAGGATGAGTGCCAGCCACAGCCACAGTTCCTCTTCTGCCTATCATCTCCAATTAATGGCCTCAGGGACTGTGGAGTGCCTGATGGCCTTGTACACCCCATAGCTCAGGAGCTAGGGCTGCAGATCTGCTTGCAGAAATGGAATATGCTCCCACCTTGTCATAGACTGATAGAAATCTTGCCAAGATGGAGTGACTCCACCCACCTAGCTCAGAACTATGAGCAGACCTGGCACTGCCAGGACCTGTCTCGATGTGCTTTCCCAGCCCGGTGCATGGGAAGGAAGTGGGAACAATGAGAAGAATTCGGGTGTCCCCATGATTATTTTAATGGGAGCCAGCAGCTGTGCCAACCAGGGCCCAGAGTGAGGATGTGAACCCAACTGCTGGCTTCATCAGGGCAGCATATTCTCTCAGGGCTTCTGTGCACATGGTAAAGTGGAACCAAGTCACAGGACAAGAAGGGGAGGCCCAGAGTTGGAATTCCCAGTGGCCTGGCCCAGAGCAAAGGGACATCAAGTGTGTAATGTTGTTGGTGTGGTGCTTCCTTTATAGAGAGAGATTCTGCCATCCTCCCGCCTGGGTACCCTGCCACCTGCCTTCAGCACTCGAGTGCTGCCAGCTCAAGCCACAGAGTATGCCTTTGCTTTCATCCAGGTGCCCCAAGATGTGAGTCTACACATATTCCTCCTTCCAAAGTGAACCAACCATTGATACAGCAGCCCTCATAGACTGACAAGAAAAGATGAAAACAGTGTGAACTGTCTATTTATGATAGGACTTGGAACATGGGAGAGTAACTGACTATAGTAATTGAAGGAGGGTGCCACAAATGAGGTGACAGGCAGCATTTCAGCTAGTTCTTGAGAAACAGGTGCACCTAGCAAGCCAGGGTGCTGTGGGGCAAAGGCTCTGCCACCACAGCTGAATACTAGGGTGAGAGAGACAGAAAGTGAGAATGGAAAGTTAAATTAGGGGCTGATCTTGTCTGCCCTGGCAGTTGGGAAGGGAAGTGACAGCATGGCATGGTCAAATTTGTCTTTGAACAAATGTCCAGTGACATTGTAAATGGGAGAGATTGGAAAGAATGTTTGGGAGATGGTCTTAACAATTCAGACTAGAGACAGTGACAGCTACACCAGGACTGTCATTGAAGTGAGGTAGGGGAGAAAAGGACAGGTCTCAGAGACACATGACAACATCATAGGGATGGTGGGCAAAGGAGAGGAGGAATCTGAGATGGCACTGGATTTCTTCCACGTGGATATGGGGGAGGGGCAGTTGGGTCTATGGGACTCCCAGGTGGCTGTACAGTTTTTAAGTTCAGAAAAAAGGCCTGAGATTGTGGATTCACCTATTAAAATCATGAAAGTGTAAATTATTGTACCGAGTGAGTATGGAAGGTAGGTGGGAGGAGAGAGAGGGTTGGGAAGTCATCTGGTGTTAACACAACCTGAGGCAAAGAGCCAAGAGGCATAATGTCTATGTGAGAGCAGGACTATGCTCAAGGTTGTAATCGGCCCCAGTTTCCAGGCTGCTGTGAGCCCCCTCCCCAGGGAACTTTGGCAGGCCAAGTCTTTAGCTTCAAGGAGGTGCTAGAAGCGAGTGAGAGGGTGGGTATAGGCACCAATGACTTTTTCCTACCTTTTCACAAAATGTGCCAGACAGAGGAAGACAAACAATAGAAGACATTGAGGGCAAGTATCACAGACTGGATTAAGGGGGTATCTGTAAGGATGCAAAGACAAAAGTGGGATGAGCTCAAGATGGCAGTAAAGACAGACACAGGGAGGTGATGGAGTCACCATGCTGGAGCAAGACTGCGGAACGAAGCAGTTGAGAGGGGCCAGGGCTACAAGCGTAGGGTCAGTTTTAGGCAGGAAAATCCATTTTTCCTCAGAGACACAGGGCAGGTGAGTTGGAGAGAAGAATGGCTCATGTGCAAGTGGTCAGGGTAGTGAGCAGGGGTCCTTCATGTCCAGGGGTTTTTGGACCCATATTGGGACCTAACAGAGAGTAAGTTGCAGGTCCCTGCTGGCCACACTTCCTTCGAAGACCATGGACAGAATCCAGGACCCAAGCAACTGCTATTTGGCTTTTGTCCATCCATCCCTCTTGCTAACCTGACTGTGTCCCTGCTCAGGAGGATGCTCGCACAGACGCCGTGGACAGTGTGGTCCGGGACATCCAGAACACTCAGTGCCTGCTCAACGTGGAACACCTGAGTGCCAGTTGCCCCCACGTCACGCTGCAGTTTGCTGACTCCAAGGGTGACGTGGGTCTGGGCCTGGTGAAGGAGGGGCTGGTCATGGTGGAAGTGCGCAAGGAGAAACAGTTCCAGAAAGTGGTACGTGATGTGGAGATGGGACAGGCCCTTAGCATCTCCCTGCAACCACCATCATCACAGATGAGACTAGGAGCTGCATCCAGAGCCAGTGAGGGAGCCAGGAATCCACCAGCCTCCTGGTCCTGCTGGGGAAAGATAATGGATTTGGGTTTGTTAGGGTTTTTTTTAAAAATCTAATTAAATCCCAAATTAATTGGCTGCAGGTTTGGCTGAGGATGCAGCTACAAACTAGAGCAGAAAGTTTCCCTTCACATGTGCCCCAGGAAATGGGCTACGGAGTTTGCCATGGCAGTGTGGAGAGGGTCAACCCCTGTCTCACCATCTCTCCTAGGCACTTCTTTAACATATAGCTTCAAATCCTAGAACCTAGGCCACCCACTGGGTCCAAAAGGACTCTTCCAACACCCCTCTGGCCTATTTAGAAAGCCCAAGGACTGTGCAACTGTTAGCCAAGCTTGGGAAGTCAAGCTTGAGAAGCTGAGCCTCCTCATGAGATGACGGGAATACTAGCTGCTTGCTGCTTCTTGAGGTTGACTACTGTCAGGATGATACCTGGGGCCATGTTGTTCCATTCAGTTTTGACCATTAGGTTGGGGCTCTGGATGCTAGGCAACTCCCTAACTTGACCTCATATGTATCTGAGTTCCTCCCTAGCCTCCCACAAGCACCAAGTAAGACCCTGTTGCAAGCCAGCCCTGCCTCTCAACTGAGGTGAATCTGTGAAACTTCCAGAGGGACTGGCTGGTGACAGACTTGGGTTCTCCACAGTGCTACCACCCCAAGACCAGACCTGACTAGGAAGCAGAAGATAGCACCTAGTTCCTCCCTCTCTTCACTCAGCCTATTGTTGTCCCTTTCCCAGCCCCACTTTTACCTTGCCTTTGCCCCCATTGACACAGGCCCATGTGGTGGGTTGTGGACCAGTGGTGGTGATTGTGCACAGTAATGGTTCATTTGGGAGAAGACACTGGTATGAATTACTTATGTCTCAAGAGAAGTGTGATGACCCACTAATTCTCCTCTGGGAGATTCCCAGTTTTATTCAGATGGTTTCTAACAGCTTAGCTTAGGTTTCTCAGGAGAATTCAAGGTCTTAAGGTCCCCATATGAAGCTATCTACAATGTCTGTGGTATCTAGATATTCCTTTTGCCCCAGTTCCTGAGTCAGGTATGTACCATGAGTTCATTCCTTTATTCATTCTCAGCAAACAGTTTCTGAGAGCCCACCATGGATCAATAACAAGAGACGGACAGCATCCCTGCCTGTGGAACTCATATTCAAGAAAAATGAATATGATTAAATTAAATAAAATGTTAGGAGAGGATAAGCACAATGGAAAAAGAAAAAATAGAAGTATAGTACAGGGGATCAGGAGTTGGGGGTTATAATATAAATGAAGTCATTTGAGGCTGCATTATGAAGGTGACACTTTACCAAAGACTTTTGAGTGGTGGAATAGGAACCTGGTAGACACAAGGGGAAGAATATTCCAATCACATGGAATAGCCAGAGCAAAAAATGAAACAATCCTGGAGAACAATGTAACTATGCACATTGGCGTTTCTCTGGGAGCTGGGCTCTACTGGAGGGTTTCAGAGCAGGGAAACGGTGTGGAGCTGACCTGTGCATCTGCAGGGTCATTCTGGCCATTCAAGTCAAGAGCACCCTGTCCTGACCACTTCCTGTCTTGTGTCCCTCAGATCACGGAATACCTGAATGCCCAGGAGTCGGCCAAGAGTGCCAGGGTGAGTTCTCATCTTGGGGCCCCAGAGGTGCTGTGCTGAAGGGCTTGTCCCTGTGGGTTCTAGTGGGTTCCATTGGGTCCCACATCACTGAAGAGCTGTGTTGTTTCCTCTCACAGCTGAACCTGTGGCGCTATGGAGACTTCCGAGCTGATGATGCTGATGAGTTTGGCTACAGCCGCTAAGGAGAACCATGCCTGCCCCCAGCACCGCTCACGCCAGTACCTCTTCCTCAGCCAGGAGGGCATTTTTAACTCCAGACCTGATTGGGGTGGGGGGCAGTATAGATTGGATTCAGCTTTGCTTCAGTGTATGGAAACATCCTGTATGGTGGCATCAGGGCTGGGGGCAGGCCATCGTCCTCTGGGATGACAGCACTGCTGTCCACAGGCTTTCCCAGATGATTTTGTATTTTTACTTGGGGGTTTGTGGTTTTTTAAAAAATTGTCCTCAAATCAGGAAGAACCATAAGAGACTTTGTCCTAGTGAAGAGGGTAATCTTGACACCTGAGGCCAGCTGCCAGCTGGTACCTGCCTCTACCCCAAGCCACCCCTCTTCCCCAACTCTGTCCAACTGTTGATTATGTGATTTCTCTGATACGTCCATTCTCAGATGCCAGCGTGTCCACTTCTGTCCCCTCACCAGCCCATTCTGTATTTAAAGCTTTTGAGGCCCAATAAAATAGTACCTGCTGTCTGCAACTCTTACTGTCATGGTGGAACTAAGATCCTGTGGTCTTGGCAACCCAGCTGGGAGGAGGCCTGGCAAAAACCCCTAAAACCATAGCCAGCTGGGGACAGCAAGGCAGTTCATTGTAAAAGCAAATTCTGGGACATCATGGGCACCACTTGGCACCACAGCCATAATACAGAAAGCTGGACATCTCCTCTTTGGACTCATGGCATGTGGCTGGCCTCAAGGATCTCAGAGATTCAGAGCAGCTTGGCCAGCAGAGCCCAAACTGTTCCCCAACTGAGTGCACCTACATGAGCCCAGCAAGAATCCCAAAGGGAGTCAGGAGAGGAATGTGGCTGGCTCACATTGGGTTTAGAAAAAGGACCCCTTGTCCTTCTCTTGAGAAAAGAGCTAGAATGACAGGCCACTATGAAAGGGATCCTGGGCCTTACTGAGGAAGACCTATGTGCTCCATGCTAGCTCTTGCTCTGTCTGACAAGTTATCTCAAAATCCTCAAGGCCAAGCTGGCCCAGAGCTACTTATAATCCATGATAGAAGAGAAAGATACTTCCCACCCCCCCCACCCCCCTGCCCTTCCCTCACACACACATACATCGTACCATGTAGTGTGCAGTAAGGAACCTATACATACAGGGAATGCCAGAGAGAGACTGAGGGTGCGGGGGATGATGAGAAAGTCACCATTCTGGGCATCTAGGGTCCAGCCCCTTGCTCTTCACCCACCTTATTCACATGGCCCTGCCCCTCCCAGGCAAATACTCCAGTGAAACCTGGTGCCACACCTTCCTGGCAGCCTGTTCCAGCCTGATAGTCTGATTCAGGGTGATGCTCCAAGTTGCCACATACGGTTAGTTCTTTGATTTTGTGGTAAGGGCATCAGGAGAGGTAGTAGGCCAGGCCAGAGGAGGCAGCTCTCCCTCCTAAGCCCAAACATACTCTAGTTTTGACCAGGGTTCACGTGGGCTTCTACCCAGGATGCCTGCCTTTAAGCAAAGAGGGGTGTGCCTCTTAAGACCCAAGGAGAGACATGGAGTCAATTCAGCTCCAGTAACCACTACACTTCCCCTCCTCCTGAGCCTCTCCATTCTGCCTGGCTTCTCAGAGCAAGTTCTTGTACTCTATGAGTCAAACCCTTCATGGCCCCCATGAACTGCATTCCCCATGACTGTGTGGAGCACTTGGGGTGTCCACCAAGTAAGCAGGAGTGTGATGGTGATTTGTGTGAATCTGTCTGGCATCCCCACTCCTGAAGAAGCTGTCCTGCCTCCAGAAGGAGAGCACAGTCTCACCATGGCCTCATTTTATTTTGGTCCACAGAGAAGAGAATACCCATCTCGATCATTTTTCTACCTCCAAGGTGCTTGATAAGGCCAAGAGGTAGCATGAGGCACACAGTGCATTCATAACGAGCACAATTGGCAGAGGGGCAAGGTGCCAGCCCACTCTTTTGTAAAAGGGTCTGAAATCATCTCCCTGTTGTAACAGTTGCCTTGGTTACATCTGCGCCCAAGGATAAACCCTCCTTAGTTTTCCAGTTGAAATTATTCCTGAGCCTTCCCATTTCTTATTTCCTTTCTTTTCCAAGGCTGGTTTAGACAAAGGTCAGAGCAGTCAGGCAGGAAGGTGCTGCTGCTTCATGTCTGGTTTGGGCCTTAGACTGGTGTTCCTCTGTCTACCACCACATCTGTTGAATTCCTGAGGTTTGTCCTGGAAGCAGGGTGAGGCAAGCCACATGCACAGGTGCAGAATTGAGACTCACGTGGTACGTGCACATTGGCATGCTTTGTTTTCATCCAGGCCAGTCCAGTCTACATCAGCACTTACAAGTACCACTGAAAGAGCCTCTCAGGGTCCTCCTCGACCCCTTGAGTTATAGAACTTGTTCTTTGACCCTGGGATCATGGGTTGCTTCTCCATGTACCTTTTCAGTTAACCAAAATCTTCTATCCCTCCGTGCCTCCATCAGACAGATTAAGACACAGGAAGCACCAAACACAGCGTTCCAGTGAGAGCCAAGGTCATTTCTAGGCTCTCAAGGGGCATGTGGATCAGTCCAGGTGGCCTTCATGTATAAACCAAAGCAGTGGGCAGGGCCCCGGGACTTCAAGGGGCTGAGCCTCTTGTCCAGGTGGCTGGGAAGCTTCCCAGAGGGAGAGGGAAGAATTGGCCTAACAGATGGCTGGACAACTGTTGGGAGTTTCCGTGTCTCTGCGGACAGCGCAGCAGAGTTTAGGATTCAGGATAGCTACCAGGGAGGTCCTGATACCTAAGACTCCTTCCCAGTCACCCTCATCTTCCTCCTCTCTGCAACATGCAGGACCAGAAGAGAAGGCAGGCAGTGGAGGGAAGGGCTCACATGGCTGCCTCACTTTATTTATTGATTTGATTATTTCTGCATCCTGGGGAGAGAGTCAATGAACCCCTTTTCTTGCATTAGCCCATGTTGGGAAGCAATAGGGAGGGGCTGGGGAGCTGGTGCCTCGAGAGTGGTTATTGATATCCTAATTATAAGAGGATGCTAATTTAATTTGAACCTAATTACAGTGCACTACCCTGGGTGGCATGTGTTTTAATAATTAACGTCCTTCAGATGCGTAGGAGTGTAATAATATTTACACTAGGTTGGCCAGCAGCCTGGGGAGGCGGACTGGGGGCCCATATACCACCCTCCCCCTGGACAGCTTGGCTGCTAGCAGGTGGGGAAGATGCCACATGATTTTTGGTCACCCAGTGTCTTGTCATCCTTCCCAGGGAACATGCTTGGGCCTCATTTCCAGCCACTTCTTGACCCAGCAGGCTGCTTTGCTCTGCAGGATGCTGCACTGGAACTCTGAAATCCATCAGACCAGCAGGATCTCTGGACTCCAGCTCCAGCTCCCCCTCTCTTCCCCCAATCCATGCAACACCAGTGAGAGCCCGGTTTCTGGCTTCCCTCCCTGCCTGAGCCCACCCCAGGAAGGGCTTGTGTAATGGGGTAGTTAAGAGGAAGGAAGGAGAGCTGCTTGGTCTTGCTCCTTTCTTTTTTTTTTTTTTGGAGGGAGCATTTGTAAGAATAGACATTCAGAAAAGTGCACAAATTACAAGGGCACAGCTCAAATGCAAACAACACCACACCAACAGATAGACTATCCCCACTTCCTTCCCAGTTCACTATCACCTGCAGCTAACTCTTTTCCTGACTTCTGTCCCAGTTAATGAATTTTGCCTGTTTTGTTGTGCTTTTCAGCTTTGCCTGGTTGTAAAGTTTATGTAAGTGGACTCACACTGAGATATTTTGCTGTTTTCTTTTACTTCTCATGTGTATGAGATTAACCCATATAGCCACGTGAGATTCAGTGAGTGCATTCTCGTTTCTGCATGTTCTACTGTATGAATGAATAGAACAGACTTGGTTGTTTTAAGGAAGACAGCTCAACAACCTGCTACAGCCAGAGCTACACCAGTCCTTAAAGGAGAAATCTGCTCATCCTAATTAGCAGCTGGGATCAGAATATGACCTATATAAGAAGGAATAGCAGGATAATGGCATAGAGCAATTTCATCCCCCAAAACCCTAGCATGCATAATGCTCTGAGTTCGACCCCCCAACACCATTTAAAAAAGAATAAAAAAACCGGGAGGTAGAAAACCAGGGCTGAGGCAATGTCAGTGTCTCTACCAAGAAGTCTCCCTTAGCAGGTGCTTCTCTAAACACTGCTGGCAGACCCACTACTTCAGAGTCACCCGGGGTGCTTGTTAAAATACAGCTGCCAAAAATAGTGCCAGGACTATATTGGGAGTAAGGGTGGGGCAAGGGAGCTCAGTCCTCATCTATCATAGCAGGAAGACAATGGACCATGTTTGAAATTGATGAAACAAAAACTAGCGTGTTATTTAGCAATAAGATAGTAACCCCCAGCAGATCAAAAACATGATTAAAAGTGGTTGCCTGTAGGTAACACCACTGGGGGGGTGAGGAGCACTATTGAATTTTTTAACCATAGGCAAGCATTTCTGATGCTCTTTTTTTTTTAACTCATTATCACATAAATATTGCATGTATCTAGGTTCCACTTCAGACCTACTGCCTCAAGCTCTGTGGGGTGGGGCCTGAGAAACTACTTTAGCAAGCTTCCTAGGTGGTCCTGATGTATTCTCAAGTTCAAGAATTAGCTATCACTATCCAAACTCATTTTCAAGAAGAAAAAGGAGACAAAGTGACTTGCCCAAGGTCACTCCACTTATTAATGGCAGGGCCAGGAATAGAAAACAGGTCTCCTGGCCCCAGGCCTGTGATTTTTCTCTGTATCGTGGCTCTTACCTTGATGGGTGTCCATTTTAGTGGGCCTGGCCTTGGAGGACCTACCGCGTGAGCTGGGGTGCCAGCTCAGTTGAAGAAGTCAAAGGTGCCCTTGTCCCAGTGCAGAGGAGGCAACCCTTCCTGCCAGCAGAGTATTGCAGATCACAGCATGTCCACAATGCCTTCTCTTTGTGCAGGAACCGGCACGCGTAAAACTGCAGCTGCCCTGCTGCCAGCCAGCAGCAATGCCCTGGAGTTTTGGTGGGGGGGAGGGGGGCAACCAGCTCACAATGGGAATAAGTCTGTTCTGAGCCATACTTAGCCCCCAAACAGTAAGGTATTTAGCATTCCCTGAGTTTCTAGTTCCAGGCACTGTTCTGAAAGCTGAGGTAGCAGATCCTGTTAGTGGGAAAGCCTGATCCATCTAATGTTTGCACAGATGCTGTGGCATTAGCTCATCAAGTGGACAGTGGACATGGCCATAACCCAATAATTCCTTCCAGGTTTGGGGGCCAAGGGCTGCTTGCACGTGTCAGTTCACCAGGAGTCATGCAAGAATGGGCATTACAACCTCATTCCTTCCAACAAAAAACTGGGAACAACTGACACAAGAAAGTGTAGCCATGCAGTGGAATGAGTGACCTGTGACCATGCAAAACAGAGATTTTTACAAATAATGCTAAGTGAATATGCACATCTCAGATGACCATCTCCTATGTTACCATTATCAAGTGCAAAATCAGCCAGTGGAGGTGGTACACGCCTGTAATCCCAGCACTGGGGAGGCTGAGATAGAAAGATCATGAGTTTCAGATCACCCTGGTCTACATAGCAAGACCCTATCTCTAACCCCACCCCCCCCAAAAAAGGCACTTTTTTTTTT